GGTCTAAGGTAAGACACCAGTCCAGTCTGTGTTGAAACATTACTGTCAATCAACTATCGTGGGAGGGGCCTGTACAGAACTACGTCATTCTGACAGGAATCTCAGAACAGCCTGGTTTGAGAAAGGGGATTTTAAAATAGGGATTTAAAAAAAAACACTGGATGGATTTTTATAATTATAGGATGGATGTGTACACACACTTCCAACATACATTTATGTTCAAACAACTTGAAAAGTGAACTTTACATCCGATGACCCCTTTAATGTCTTTGAAAGAAGTCTCATATGCCATATATTATATTATAATATATTATTATGTATTAATATTTCGAATTAGCTTAAATCTTAATATTTTCAGTTTTCTTTTAAGTTTAGTTTAAGTTTTAGAAATTTTATGTGCTTTTGTCATTTTTATTTTGTTTAAATTTCTATTTAGCTTTAATTTATATTTCAGATTTTATTTTATTTTTGTAATTTTAGTACCTCAAACTTACTTTATTTTAGTTAGTTGCAAATGCAATATCTTAATTTATCAAGGTTTTTTTTGTTTTTGTTTTTTTCAGCTTTATTTTACCAAGGCAACAATTTTTAATAGTTTTTTTTTTGTTAACAATAACAACACTGTCTTGTTCACTAAGGTGGCATTTATTTGATCAAAAATACTGTAAAAATATTTCTAATTTTTACTATTTAAAACAGCTGTTTTCTATGTGAATATCTGTTAAACTGTAATTTATTTCTGTGATGCGCAGCTGTATTTTCAGCATCATTACTCCAGTCTTCAGTGTCACATGATCTTCAGAAATCATTATAATATGCTGATTTGCTGCTCAAGAAACATTTCTGATTATTATTAATGTTGAAAACAGTTGTGCTGCACAATATTTTTGTGAATAGAATAAATGAATAGAAAGTTCAAAAGAAAATCATTTATTTGAAATAGAATATTTTGTAACATTATAAATGTCTTTACTGTCACTTTTGATTAATTGAATGCATCCTTGTGCAATAAGTCAGTTTTCTCACCCGTGCTGCTGCTGGTGGGTCGAGCGCGGTGCTTCCGGTTCCATTCGGGCCGCATGGCCTCGATATCGTCCACTGAAGATGCGCGGCGCATGCTGTGAAAGCTCTCGCGCGAGCGGCTGTTGGTCAGGCTGCAGTTGGACACGGAGGTGTCTGGATTGAGCCGCTGCGGTCGGGGAGAGGAGTGACCCAGGGGCAGCGCGGCGGGGTGCGGCGGGGCCGGAGGAGGGGACGAGGGGTCGCTGCTCAGGAGATTGCACTGGACTTCGGGCAGCAGCGAGGACGGAGAGGCCGCGGCGGGGTTCAGACGGGGCGACTCGTGTTCAGGCAGAGACAGCAGCTCACCCAGAGCCAGGGATTCGTGGCTTTGCGGACAGGATCTGCTGGGGAAACCCGTTCTTCGTCCGGCCTCCAGATCCTCCCGCAGAGAAGATTTACTGTTATTCCTGGAGTTCAGGAGCGGCAGACGTAAACGGATGCCACGAGCGCGATCTACGACAAACAGAGAGAAAATGTCAAAACTCAACATTTTTTTGTACCAAAAAGCGTCATAATTTAGTTGTTTAACTCTTTCTCTGCCATTGACGAGTTATCTCGTCTTTTAGAAGAAAACGCTTCCCCGCCAAAGACGAGTTTTGCTTTTCGTG